CTGAAGCTTTATTTACATTTAATGAGTGAATTACATCTTCAATTTCATTTGGTGAAATAATGAGATCAGAAAGAGTAGAATTAGTTCTTTTCTCGAAGTGAGGTACAGACTTATCATTATCAGAAAGTGAAGATATAGAAGAAAAAAAGTTGTTTAAGAGTTCACACTTGTCTTTGTCATTAAAAATATATTCATGTGATTTTTCATCGTAGAGTTGGGGTATTTCAACATTTTTCTTTCCTTTCATCAATAGACGCAAGAGTTTCCAATAAGGTTTAGGTTCAGATTTACTTTTATCGATAATAGTATCAATATTTTCATAAAAAAATTCTTTGGCCCGTTTAATCATATTATTAGCCATATTTCTTGCAGTTTTATATTTGTTCTTATTAAAGTTACTACCTCTTCGAATATATTGGTTTTTTTAATCTATCCCTTATTCTAATTTGATGACGTACAGAGTTGTTCATCCAGGGTTTATCATGAGTACGTAATTGAACTTCCTTAAAAGGAATACAGGTGTTTGCAGCAATTAAAATATTGGTAGTTAAAAATTCGCACATATCATTTACATCATTTAACTCGTTCAAAGCGTGATTCCATGGAATATCAGAAATAAATTTCCTAAGTCCGTCATTGTCAGTTCTATTATACAACCAGACCTTTCTTTTGACCACTTTGTTTAGAATATTAGGTACATCAATAATAAAGACAGCATCATGATCACTAATAGATCTATCGATAGTTATAACCTCCGAGTAGAGAATATTCACGCTGTCACTAATTAAAATTGGATCCAATAAAGAAGAAGATTCAGCCGTGACTCTGGTAGGTTCTGTAATAATGTTTTTTAAGTTGTAAGATGTAAATATGGTAGAAGGTTCACCTCGGAGAGGTTTAAGAAAGTCTATGTTAAGATCTCCCAATAGAATAACATTATTTGTGAGTTCAAAAGCCCGATCAAGAGAGAAATTTATACTTTGCCACAGCCCGTTCAAGTTACTTGTATTAGGAGGTCTATATAAATTACCAATAACAAAAATTTTACCTTTAAAGACAAATTGAGCTCATATAATTTCATCGTTAAGACATTCAAGATCAATTAGACGTTTTGCAACTAAAGAAGAAGAATAGTACATTATTACACCACCTCCAAACATATTTCTATCTTTTCTAAAGGGTTCCTTACAAAAACCATCTATTATAATTTGATCATTAGAAACAGTATTATCAAGATGTGTTTCTGTCAGAAAAAGGACATCTATGTCATCAGTCAGTGTTTGGATATAATCAAGTTTGTTTCTCAAGCTTCTGATATTTAAGTGCAGAATATTTAATGAGTGGATGATGGAACTGTTGTTTGATGTAGGACCGGGATTGGGATGGATATCCCCAGCAATAGCCAAAAGAATATAGATAAGAATTGCTATGTTTGAATTTGGAGTAGACATTTGTACAAACGTAAGGAACAAGGTAAAAATCCAACATCTAATGATAGTAATAAATATGCATGATAATGCATCGAATGAAGTGTTTGAAAAGTGGAAACTGATTAGAACTGTCGATAATTTAGAGTAAAAACTACCTATGGCGGCCCTCCATGCACACAAATCATTACCCACTACGGCGGATAATGAATGTGTGCTTGTCTGGCCGCCATAGACAGTGTGCTAATGCCATATATGGGCGATCTGGTAGCTAGTTTGAGAGGGTGATAAGTAGGAAAGACGTAGGGAAGAGAGAAGGGAAGTAAGGAAGAAGGAAGGAAGGTAGGATAAAGAACGAAATATAGAAAGCATAAGAGACAAGAGGGATATGACGATAGTAAGAGAGAGGTAAAATGAGAGTAAAGCAGAGAGCGTTTGAAAGAACGCAGAGTAAAGAGTCATTGTGAGAAAATGACTAGAACTTTACCCATAGCTAATGCTAGCAAAAATACTGTGGCAGCATTTCCACTTTCATGAATTTGTTTGAATTCCTTAATGATCTACAGTAATGAAATCGACATGAATTAATATTCCTACAAGTATCCATCATATAACGCTAACCAATATCATGACATCACAACATCACACAAAACGTTAACGTCACAATAATTGCGCGATCGATCACTCGCAGTAACGCGCCAAATATTCTTCATTTCTTAAAACACTAACTAGATAGGCAATATTCATTGGTGTTATATTTTCTAGATACTTTCAAACAAGAATGTGATTTTAGCAAGTTCGCTTCACTCATTTCATGTACTGCTTGATTTTAATTTCGTTGTCTATATAATCATAGTCGGTATAATACTGTATGTACTACAGTAGTCCAACACACCATGCTGTCTTTCTTGTAGTACATGTTTGGGGTCGCATTTCCGTGAAATCCAACGAAATATCTCTGTCTGGAGTCAAGTGAAAATTCATTCTGGGAGTATACAGGTAACCTTCATTTTGGTATTTCAATTAGTTTACAACATTGTCCGTCAAATAAGGTGGTTACTTCTGGAAACTCGTATCTAGGAAACGACAGGATATCAAGGAATTTTTTAAAAATAATTGTTGACAAAATATGAATCAGTCATAGAAGCAAGGTAAGAACTCCTCGCTAATTAATTGAGCATAAACCGTATATCTTATCAACACACCGGAATTACTCCGAGAAACCACTGAATCAAGAAAGGATCCTTTTGTCATATACTGAACAGGCGGATGTCGCGTGCGGTTATCTAAACGGCGGAACGAAACAGCCCGGAATCCGACAATTAAATATCTCCACCGAGATTTCCATTTCTGCTTATAAGACAAAATGGCGACCCCCATTGACAGGGGCCGTGATCGATGGATGGTCGAGGATAACAAAGCTATTTATAATCATTAATATACAGAACTCCACGCCGCGCCCGCACGCGCTGCCAATTACAGAGCAGGTTTCCATTAATCAACGGGCAAAGATGTTGCAACTGTGAAACGGGATAAAATGTTTGAATACAAAAGTTCTGCTAAGAAACGAGAAAAAAGACATTTTTCCGTTTCTTTTTAACGTGGTTTGAAATTTTCCCAGGTTTTGTTTTTTTAATGAACATTACTTTAACTGTTACGAAATATAACTCCCCTCCATTTAACACAGTCCTTTACTTACATAACCGGGCACTCTGTAGATATTACATATTTCAGTGTCTATAGTTCGATATGTAAAAATTACCGTTGAACAACTAATTTGAAATAAATATACCTTTCCATTTTTCACTAGGAAAGTCTTAAAGGGCGGTAAAAAAAAGACAGGGCGAGGCAATGGCTTATTTTTACACCTTCCATTCCTGCATTGTTTACTCAACCGTTTCAATAAATTCCCGTTCCTTTTTCTATATCAATTTACAAATGTAAAATGGTAGTGTCGCGTTAAAACTTTGTTAACCATTTAATATACTGAACAAGTTCAATTTTATGATTAAAAAAAATCTCTTAACATGATAACATTAATAAGCCATACTTATATATCTTTATTGTCTGTTTTTAAGAGTTTTAATCAAAATTAAAGTTTTTTTCTTAGATTTAAACATTTTTATATATAAAGTGTTTACGCAACAACCTTATACGAAAATTATTGTCCAGCACACTGTATCTTCTTCGTCTTCAAAAAAAAAAAAAAAAAAGAAAAGAAAAAAGGAAACCCTACATGTGATAGTAATTGACTAAACTGTGCACATATAAATGGTTTAGGGGGAAAGTTGAAATTATAACAAAGACCATTTCGTCGGTTTCGTTTTTAGCGACAAAGCCCTTGCCTTGCCATATAAGATGTTGCTGATGATAGTTAACCTCACTGAATGTGTATTGATAGTTTGTGTCACATGTCATACCGGTGACCTGCTGTTGATAATCTCGTTATCACATGAAAGCAACCACCGACATTGGAGATGTGCGCTACCTATAAGTCAATACCCCGTCTCAAAAGTCAGCGCGTCATTATCGAATCATCCCTACCCATTGTCCGGGCAAAGTGTTAATGAGGAACAGGTGGGTATTCGCCGGGTTCTGTTTTTATATCCTGATCATTGAATCTTGTTTAGGTGACGAAACATATGATACACCCTTAATGTGTTATACTTCCACACATGGATTTCATTGGATTATCTTTCTCGGTAATTTGACAAATCTACATCATGTATTAACCAACCCGAAAAGTGAGGTGTAATATTTAAGGGACATCTAATTGGTACGAGTGTTACTTTACTATGGTAACCTTTTTGTACCTAAGGTATACCTGCACCAAGATGTATAGGTATATAGATAATTAATTCTCACACAGCCACATCCCCAGAACGCGACCCAAAGGTACATATATATACAATTTCCTATACATCATAGGATTTACTTTTAAAAGCAGGGGAAACAGTCGACAATCAAAAACTGTATTCCAAAACACAAAACTTGCCAAAGTTTGAATAAGAACACAATATACAAAATATAAAAAATCACAATAAAATTAAAAAAATATCAATATTGATTATTTCTATCGATCACGAAATTTCGTTGACTTTGCCCCTGTAACAGATGATACGTCAGATCCATTATTCCGTCGCAAAACAAGAGAACATGCGTATTTAACACACTGCAAATATATGTATTTGTCCCGAAAGAGTTCTTTTCTATATTGTTAAAGATAAATGAATGAACCGAAATGATGAAACGAAGCCTGTTTTGTTTAAATGGCTACACACTCGTGTGCATTTTAAATTATTCCTTCCGCCTGTGAAAGTTATGCATCAAAAATCAAAAACGTCCTCTACAGATTAGTGGTTTTTAGTTGGTGACGTTTCAATTAGGTTTCCCACAATCAGGATAACAATTCAGTCATTGTTAACGATGACGTCATCAAGAGCACAAGTCTATGACGTCATGTAATTATTCTATCCCAGCAACACAATGTTGTGAAGTTGTTGTGCAACGTTGTTTAGCACAGTGAGTATTCAAGGAAATGCTTTATGAGAAATATGTGAGAGAAACGTCGAAATGTCAAGCGACGAACCCGCAAGGAAAAAGCTGAAAATGGAGCCTCATATAGGTGGCGACAACTGTCGTTTGCTGGAGGAATCGAGCCCACTGAAAGTCACACGTGTGTCCAACCAAAGAGCCGTTTCCGGATCCGCAAGTGGAGATTCGAGAGAAAGTGGGCACCACCAGGTAGCATTTGTCGGGAAATACCAAACAAACCAGGCAGCCAATCATTCTGAAACCTACGGAACTGTTCCGCAGGGATGTGAACTTGGAGATGTGTGGGAGCATAAGTACCCCAAACCTCTTGGACAACATACAAAAAAACTTACACCAATCAAAACCGGAAATGTTCATTATGATATAATCATTTCAGATCTAAAACTGCTCGGGTACAATCCAATTCAGTTAATAGCGAAGGGCAGATCTGGATCCATCATACTTGCTCAGGATCTTAGCAAGAACAGGTTCTACGGGGAGAAAGAATGTATCCCAGTCGCTATCAAATTAAACTCCGGGAGGACGTCTTCAAGGCAAGCATCAGGGGCCAGTACATTTACAGAAGAAATGGCAATCTTAAAAGACTTGGCACATCCGTCAATTGTCACGTGGATTGAGAATATTAGTTACCAAGGTAGGATAGGTATGGTGACGGAATTCTGTGAAAATGGAAACTTGGACCAACTTCTCCGGATAAAACAAACTCGATTTTTAGCTGAACGAGTGTCAAGAAAGTACTTCCGGCAAATCTTCGATGGTCTAGAATACCTTCACCATCAGGGAATAGCACACAGGGATATCTGCACTTCTAATATGCTCATCACAGAATTTAACACAATCAAAATTACAGATTTTGGTCACGCAGTCCGGTATATGACTGGAGATCCTCTAAGAAAAGATTTGTGTGGATCAAATGGGTATCAGGCTCCAGAGATAATCTCTAGAGTCCCATACAATCCACAGTTATCAGACTGCTGGTCCTTAGGGTGTCTATTATATATAATGACCATTGGGAATTTTCCTTTCGGGCTGATTCGCTCGGAAATGATGTCGAAATTTTGCAAGAAAACACCATTCCCAGACAAGCGGGTGCAGCCACTTTCACCTGAGCTCACAGAACTGATCAACGGTATGCTGTTGTGCGTTCCAGAACGGCGGTTCTCGCTCACCCGAATACGCTTCTCTCCGTGGATGCAAATGAATGACGTTGATAAAGTGCAGATAGGGAATTTTCATCTGATTCGACAACCGCGAAAGATCAAAGAGGGCAACGAAGAGAAGGCCCTTAAAGCTGCGTATAAAATATGAGCTGAACCTTGGATCAATGTCCGGACAGATGTCATAAAACTCCTCCTGAATTACCTTAAAGTGTTGACAAAGTGTGCGACAATGGTAACGGGTGTAATTTTGTCAGTATGTTCCTATTGTCAACAATATGTATTGTAGACGATCCTTATTTTGCCATTTTTATCGTATATAACGTGGATATCCTCTGTCATTCTCTCGCTGCTGCAGTTACAGACTTGTCATATACACAACGAGCCTAACAACTCTTTCGATTTTTTTAGAAATGTAGTTTTACAGCATTTACAAAACACTTCAATGTTAATCTTTTTATTTTCTATTACATGAACTGGTTTCAATACATATTAGATTTTGAGATTTACTGAACTGCAGGAGCGATGGATTTCCTATACGATACCATTTTATGAGTCATTTTCCCTGTAACCATACAATAACCTCACTGTATTTTGATCCGATATTCACTTCATGGTGACATTATAACTCGGTTTTAATAAATAATTTTGCATATTTTGGAGTGATAATGCTGTTTTGTGTAAATGGATGCGATCTGCGTAAATTTCAAGCTTTTCTATACGCTGTTAATGCATATAACATTGAAACGCACGTTCGATAAAGAGTTTCATTAAAAGAATAAGAGATCAGGTTATGAATGATCACCTTCGACATCTCTGTTGGATGGGATGACGGATTGTCTATCGAACTCGTACGCCGGAGAACTAACCGTTATTCCACTAGCCATAACGTGCTTCATGAGGATGCAACTAGTCCGAAAAAACATTATCCGCAAAAAGCGTATTCCTTACTTACAACCGGTGACACGATCTTCTAAAAGCACACAAGCTATCGGAGTTTTCGTCTAATGGATGTTGCGTCTCATAACTTATGCTTTAGTGTGACGGCAGTCATTTTCCATCGATCATCGAAGAAAACACAAATCTAACGAAGCTAATCAAAGTCTCCAAATGACATGCGCAATTCGTATGTCTGTCCGGGATTGTCTGGTAACGTGCTCATTAGATCGTCATTTCCGTGCGCGTTTCGTTTTTTCTGTTGAGCCTCCCATCGATCCGTAATATATATCATGCCGGTACCTGAGTATGTTAGAAGTGATATTATCACGAATACATCCCTGGAATGAACATATATGCTATGGGGAAACACAGTAAGAGCTTCTAATGTAACATTTGAAAAGTTACTTACATTTTAAATGTCATCGGATAAATCTCACTGGTAGTTCCGGTAAAGTATTCTTAAAATGAAACACCTTGCACCACGCAAACTCTGAGATAAAATGTAAATTGTTTTATAATGAGAATTACATACACTTGCATTAAAAATTCACTCTCGTAATTTGGCATAGTAATATAATTGCTGAACAAGATTTTAACGTGTGTGACCATTCTGTACTATTGTATTGTATAAACACAATATTGTTTCTGTTGCTGAACAAAAGTATTGTTTGATGTGCGTCCTCATTCTGAAATATTGTTTTGTATAAATATAATATTGTTTCTGTTGCCGAACAAGAGTATTGTTTGACGACCCCCTGTGTTTGGCGATTTGGTGTTGGTTTTGCAAGTTGACTGAATTGCTTTTTCAAACATTCACATATATGTATATCATGTTCTGAATATTTTTTCGGTGCCTACACGAAATTCACCTAAGGTGTTGTTGTTGGACTTATGCTGCCGGTTGATAAGGATATAAATCAATTTAAATTGATTTTTTTTTTCTAGCGGATAGTAGAAAAAGTACGACTGACGATCAAGGTTAACGTAAAATTATCTGACATCAAAGAACGAGCTTATATTACTAGAACTTTTTTAAACGCTTGTTAATTCTATATTCTGATCGTCTTTTTTTCCATTTACATTTTTAACAAAAAGAAAAAATAATGGTTCCCCGTTAAATATGTATTTTTTACTTCTATGACAGAAAATACCTCTATTATTCATTTTTTTTTTATTTTTGCTAATCACACTCGTGAAAATATATATAGGAGATTAAACTTGTGATTAAATGTGGTTGTAACAGGAAGAATTCACCTGTACGCTGTTGTCTAATTACGTTAGATGTCTGGTCACGGCAGTTCAAACAGGACAAATGATGTATTTTCAGTTTTAGTATTTTTCCTTAATTTGCCTGTCTGATTGTAATCAAACATGGTAGAAATGATCCAGACTGGTAAGGGTTCGATTTCAATCATGGAAGGTCCTGTTGTCTGTTTGAGAAAAAAAACTACAAAAAAAAAAAAAAAAAAAACAGCATGCTAACTTTTAAAAATGCCTTATCTTGTCATCTTCAACCTGCATGCACTTTCTCTAGCTTATACCAGTTGCAAACAACAGAACAAATAAACAAAGGTTTTAGTCTAGTCGCTGTTTTTAATAAAATCTATACAAGTTTACACGAAGGATGTTATAACGACAGTTTTGAAGTAAACTGTGATGTTACTGGTTACAAACTCAATAAACAGGACTATTGCCGGAAAATGTCCCCCCTCACTATCATCAAAACGTAATATGTGTCATAAATCTGGTGATAAAGTCTTACTAATCACTCTGTTAACCCCTAAACATCCAAAACAAATTGAAACATGTCAACATAGTTAATTATATACCATACGGTGCCACTCGGCATTCATTGACAGAAATTTGCCATTTTCTCTAGATTCCTGACACCAAACCACATAATTAAGTTCCAATCTAATGAAATGTTATCATCACCAATCTGATAGCACTGACAGAAAAATCTCCGAAATTGCACACCAGAATGTGATCTCCTGGCCTGAAGAGTTCTAACAATGATGTATGCCCCTAACCTGATCAATCCCACGCGCTCTCAACATTCATCTTTTCTGTTACACTTCCGAAGGAGAAGAGAAGCACAGTACCGCCAAGTGGGTGGAAACTTTTCCCGTCAGTTTTTTGTAATACTGGCTGGCTCTCGTCAAATCTGGGTGAATTCACTCTCCGTTCACCAGTTTTGCTGGATGATATTTGACAAGATGATCAATCCATCACATTTTCCGAATGACACCTAACGACGTACACCAGGGTTTCCAAGCGAGAACCCGCCACCGTAAACAGCGTGAGTACACTACAGGCGACAGCTCAGGGTTGGCCCTGGCGCGGAGTGTTAACATCCTCATTCACATCTCCCAATATCATTTCAAAAAAAGGTTTCACATTAAATGCATTGGACAGATTATTTATTTATTTTCTTTTATTGTTTGTTTCAAATAAAATCCGGAAACACGTGTATTTAAGGTAATTATCATACATATTATAACTGGTTTTAATAGAACGCGCCATATTGCTGATGGTTATTGTACATGGTAATTTCTAACTGTTTAGTCATCTTTCATTATCAATGTTGACTGAACTCTGATGTAAGCTTTCCTGGTTTGCGGTAGAGTTTGAGCTACTTTTTCACGACGCTGATTTATTTTTTTTTAAGTTTGTTTTGTCCCGATTCAGTTAAAACTTCATTTTTTGTTTTTAAATATGTTCTTGCACAAAGCAACTAAGACGAAATAAACCATCCTGCAATATTTTTTATCATTTTGTCACTGAGGTGACGTTTAATGTCTATATAATATTTCTCCATCATGCTATATAGTTTTTCCTTTAACTACTCCAACTTCTTGGCGTTACATTCTATATGTCTGAATCTCAGTCGTCATTCAATAACAAACAGAAAATGTAGAATATAGAAAACTATTCAGCCGAATTCAAACAATATTTCAACAAAACAACCATCCGGGTCAGCCTAGGTACAAAACTTAATGTAGCCACAGACTACAGTTTCCCATCATTCATCATTGATATACAATTGTATCGTCTTTTAATTTTTTAAGCGGTGATGTTTTTTTTTTACTAATATCGATAATTACTCCTTCATTGAGTACATGTTTAGAAGTTAGTTGCTGATAATCACAAGAAATATGACACGCTAGTACGAGTGGTAAAATACCTGCATCCGGATAAAGCGTGCCATCTGATTTGTCATTACTGGTCGCTCCTACGCAGTGTCTCAGACTAAATGGATAGCTGTGGTGAAATTAATACAATCATGATTACACTATCGTTTACCGATACTCACTCAATTATTTTGTTATAAACCATTGTCTTGTTGAAGACTTGACGACAAAGACGGGTTAGCCAAGTGCCACATCATTAATTGCTGACAAAGGACATGACGCCGTTATCATCATTTAAGTCGGTGTGGGTCACTTTGATCGTGTTAGGCAATGACGCTGCAAACATCATGTTTGAATGTAATATTGACAAGTCTGTTTCTTTGCCAGATAGGAGGGACATTGCCAAAGAATATATGAAGCCATAATTATAACGCTGACGACGAAAATGCCAAGACAGCAAAAAATAAGGTACATCATTTTAGTATAATGTCATAATGTACTGTAGTCACTGGTACATTTTTACCTTATTAAAAATATATATTTGAAATATTTGTTCTTTTGCATTTACCTGATATATATATATATATATATCCTTCTCTCTGTCTGTCAGTGTCTGTCAGGCCGTCTGCTTGTCTGTCGTTCTATCTCTATCTCTTTCTCTCTCTCAATCTCTCTCTCAATCTCTCTATCCTACCATCCCTCTCTCCCTCTCTCCTCTCTCTCTGTCTGTCAGGCTGTCTGCTTGTCTGTCGTTCTCTCTCTCTCTCTCTCCTACCATCCCTCCCTCTCTCTCTCCTTCTGTCTGTCTGTCTGTCTGTCTGTCTGTCTGTCTGTCTGTCTGTCAGGCTGTCTGCTTGTCTGTCGTTCTCTCTCTCTCTCTCTCTCTCTCTCTCTCTCTCTCTCTCTCTCTCTCTCTCTCTCTCTCTCTCTCTCTCTCTCTCTCTCTCTCGTCCTTGTTTGTTTTGTTTGCTGTTTTCTTCAAAAATTCCCAGGAAGCAACAAAAATGTCACATGCTATTTCAATAATGCGACACACCATCGCTCGATCATTTATTAATGTATGTGTGTAAAATCCCTTTAT